GGGCTTCTCGCAGTGGCTACAGCTTTGCACTGGCCAGGTATGGGACTCAGCTACACCTGGCTCCCAGCACTCCAGAGAGCTGCAGGGAGTAGTGTTGAGAGCTCCCCCTGCAGGATCAAGTCCACATGTGCAGTCAAAATCAGCCGACAAGGGCCGGGGAGACGGCTCAGTAGAATAAGTGCTTCCCTGGCAAGCGCAAGGGCATGAGTTTTATCCCCGGTTCCGCAAAAAACAAAAACAAAAACAAAAAAAAACCCTGCAAACTGAGTGCTGCACAAAAAGCTGCAAAGAAATGGAGGAGCAAGTGCTCCCTGAAGGGCTCTGGGCAGTGAAAACAATCTGTTCCCGAGGATCATTAGCGTCTACTTGAGGAAATTCAACACATAATTGCAGCCAACCCTGAAATCAGCCCGCCCAGCACCTTGAGTGGGTGAGCCAAGGCCTTATCCTCTGCTGTCCTGACAAGCATGTGGCAGCCAGGACTTACAGAGCAACGACTCTGAAGGGTGCTGTGTGGCCATCGTAAGTCAAAGCATCTGAGAGGACCATACCAAAAAGCTCCTTGTAAAAATCAAATTGCCCTCTCTGGGCTTGACAAGAACAGGCCTATTTACTAGCTCAGAAAATGTGCCTGAGGGGTAACTCCAGTCAACCGTTGGCTTTTCCTGAAAAGCAGGGGCTGAAATCTGGCTCCCTGCTGGCTCTAGGAAGTACTGGTTTTGCCTAAACTGACAAGAATAACCCACCGGCTGCCTCAAGAGCCCCCAGCCCTCAGCAGGTGGCCTCTGGCTTCCCAGGCCTCCTGCCACTGTTTTGTTAGAAACCGGACTCCTCAGTATACCTTGCTGAATATTTTCTGACGGCAAGAGTAAGCTGAGGAAAATAAAAACTAAATCCTTTTGGACTTACACATAAAGAACCTTGGAAAATAAAACCTTAAATGTTTCATTCAGAAAAACACAGTTTTAAGAAAAGTATCAAGGAATCCGCCTCATGGCTTTAGCCTAGCTCTGCAGCAGCTCCCGTGCCACCCAGGGACATGCTGCTGTGGCTATTCATCTGGCCCCTGCAAGACCACAACACCATGGCTGGCATTTAGCACACAGAGAGGTACAGTGGCCTCTTGGCCAGCCCCACAAAGGCCAAGCCACCTGCCACAGAAGGGAGTGGCCTGAGGGAGATTGTTCCTCCGAGGGGCAATGCTTACTCTGTGGGTCTCACTGAGAGGCACAGGGACCCCCCCCCCCACGTTTCTGCCTGTCCCAAGAGCCATGCCATTCTAAAGATGCAGAGAAGGAAGCAGCTGAGCACAGGAATCTTGGACACTATGCCCATCTGTCATTCAGGGTAGAGAACAG